AAGAATTCTAGCCCCTTGGCAATATCATGCCAAATGTTAGACTCAAAGGGATGCGGAGAATCAAGGTCATGAGTATCATACCATCCATATTTCACAGCAAGATGAGAGCTACCTCTGGAAGCAATGTACGAGTGAAGTTTATTTAGATGGGAAAGAAGCAGGCAAGAGTTTAAGTGTTGGAGAGAGGAGAAACCTAGACCTCCCATGTGAGAACGGCACACAAACAAATTCTCAATCTACTTTACACTGCCCACCAAACACCTTTTCCTGACCCGCCCAAAAAAATGACCTGGACAATGCCCACCAGGAGCAGTAGAGCAGTTATGGCGTAGATAGGTAAGGCCCTAAGGACCGCACGAACCAGAATGGCACGGCCGGCAAGAGATAGAAGCACCCCTCGCCACCCAGCTAGACGACAATCGATCTTTTATAGCTTTCGTGTGTATAGTTGCAACCCCATGTTCATATGTTACTGGCAATGCATTTTACATGAAAACAGCACAGGAGCTTGGTGATCAACTCGTTGACAACACAGAAAACCAACCGGTAGAGTGGAAAAGTGGGCCGCGGCCGTGAGCTGAACCAAATTGGATTTAGTTCATCTACACCACGTCCCTTGGCCCCTGCACCTCAACAAGCCTGCCTCAAAGGAGCCTTTTGCTTTCATCAAATCGTCTAATCTAGGTTTTACATCATATACACCAAGGAAAACAAAACGGTGTCGTGGCAAATGAAAGAATCGGTATATGAAGGTTTGTCAGTGCAAATCTCCCAGTCTCTGAACGAGCTGCTCACGCGCTGGTGACACCTGACATCCAGGGCACAACAACAGGGGCTCTCGGATGAGAATCTCTGTAAGACTCGGAATACTTGTCTTTGAAGTTCAGTTTAGGCTGGTCAGCCTGCAAAGCATCACAAGATAATTAGGCTGTGCGAAGAAGAACAATCAACAGCTCATGTCATCTTAACAGAAAATAAAAGTTAACAATGTGAGGTACATCAGTTTAAATTTAGATGAATGATTTGACTATATAACAAAGCCTCGTGCGTAGGTAAACATTGGCAAAAAATACACCGGTAGTGCATATCACAAAAGTATTTGCCCCGCCATGTAGCAAGAGCAGCAAGTCGAACCATACTCTAAACAATCATATTGTCACAGACCAGACTTGTGCAAGATAACAGCAAGAAATTAGAGCATCTCCAGCCGCGCCCCCAACAGGCCCTCCCCAGACGTTTTTGCCACGCCGGCGCTGAAAAAACGGCTCAGTCGCCCCCCAAGAAGCCCGTTTTTCGCCAGCTCGGGCCGAAACTGGTGCCGGCGGACCCAGGCAGAACCCGGCGCCCTGGGGGGTGCCTGGGGCGCCGGCACAAGCGAAAAGGGCGCGTGGGTCCGCCCTGTCGGCGAGTCGAGCGCCTCTTCCCGCCGTTTCTTCCCACTTTTCCCCACTTCCCTCCCCATTTCCTCCTTTCCTCCCGCCAATCTCCCTCCCGCTCGCCTCCCAGCCGGCCGCCATGGCACCGAAGAAGTACGCCGTCCCCCGCGCCGCGGCAACCGCGACCGCCTCCGTTGCCCAGACGAAGCAGAGGAAGCCGCCGGGCATGACAAACGCCGATTGGAGGGTAGAAGTGCAGCGACGGGAGGCCGTCACCGCCGACCGGTGGAACAGGGCCCTCGCCAAGAAGGCCCGCGACAACGCGGCACGCGCGGCTGCCGCTTCGGCGGACCAGGCCGAGGCCGAGGCGACTCGCGCGGGGATGAATCCCCCCGGCAACCACGCGCAGTACGCGCCCTGGGGCCAACAAGGCGTCGGGTCTCCGTCGCCGCAGCCATGGGGATCGCCGGGCTACGCCGACGGGAACGCGCACGGTGGGTTCAACCCAAACGTCACTTTCCCCCATGGACACCCGGCCCAACGCACGCCCTCGCCCGCCTTCACCGGCTGCAGTACCCTCCATACAACTACTCGCCGCCCGCGTACGCGTCCTCCCCGACGCCCCCTCTCCGCCGTTGCGCACTGCCCTTCTCGCACCTCGGCGACGCCGACAAGACCGAGGCCGACATGGACGACATCATCGCGGAAGGTTCGGCCGCGGCCGCCGCGTCTCCCGGCTTCACCGCGGACGAGATGGTGGATCTCAGCTGCGGCATGGACGGCGAGCTCGGCTACGTCTACGGCGACGAGGAACAGGAGGAGCAAGAGGAGGAGGACGAGGAGGAGGAGTCAGCGAGGAGGCGCAAGAAGAAGAAGCGGACGGCCAGGTCAGGCGAGCCACGCATCAAGTGGGCGTCCAAGGAGGAGGAATGCCTCGCCAAAGCATGGAAAGTCATCTGCCTCGACCCGACCACCGGCGCGAACCAGAGCATCGAGACGTACTGGGCACGCATCAAGGCCGAGTTCGACGAGCGCAAGCTCGTCGACCCCTACTTCAAAGGCGTCTACATGCAGCGCGGGTCGAAGGCGATTGCAAACCATTAGGGGCGTATCCAGGGGGCGTGCAACAAATGGCATGGGGTCGTCGAGGAGGTCGCCGCTCGCCCGGAGAGCGGCGCCAGCATTGAGGATCAGGTATGCCACGCCGGTCTCCCGCCTCTCTTCGCCGTGTGCGCCGCCAACTGTTTGTTTGTCCCCGCACAGTTGTTGCGCATGTTCGGCCTGTACCGGCAGAGCAACAGCGACGCCGAGTTCAAGTACCTCCACGTTTACAAGCGCATTGACAAGTGCGATAAGGGGGCGGAAGTCCGGCGCACCCTCAAGAAGGCCAAGGAGACCTACAAGCCGGACACGCCGACTCCGGGCGCGTCAGATGGGAGGCCGGACGACAACAAAGGTGCCAAGAAGGGGAAACACGCCGACGCGGCCGTTGCTCGCGTGCAGGAGTCCATCCAGCACTGCCTCGCCGACGCACAGGTCCGGGCCGCCCTTCGTGAAGAGAAGACCGAGGCGCGGTGGTCGGCGTTGATGTCGACCACCGCCGTCAAGCTCAACCTACTCCTGACCAACGTCGCCGCGAAGAAGCGGAACACCGACCTGGCGTTCCTGCTGGGCGGGGCGGACATGCTCCAAAGCACCGACGAGGCGGTCAAGGCGTGGTACAGTGCGCATGTTGGCCTCATCCTGGACCAGCTTCCCTCGATGACGCCGCCCACGCCCACGCCGACACCGCCCACGCCCACGCACACGCCGCCGCCGCCGGCAAGCCCGACCGATGATGCCGCCGAGACTGCCCGCAGCACAGAAGCCACGCCGCCAAGCACAGAGACCCCGTCAAGCCCGCGCACGCCGACTCCGCCGACGCCGGAGGCCGACCTCGCCGCCTGATGCTTTGCCATCCGTCCTTTCTGCTTTTTGTACGCCGAACTTTTCATCCGATCGCCGATCTACTGGCCGCTTGATCGCCGGATTGTGGCGTCTATTTTGGGCACGGGAATGAACTACGTTTGATTTTGCCGTGGCTGGGGGGCGGCGCCTGGGGGCGTGGCTGGGAGCTAGGCCGCCCCCAGGGGCCGAACTAGCACCGGCTCGCCCCCAGGCCGTAGTTTTTCGGCGCCCTGGGGGGCCGAACGGCTGGAGATGCTCTTACAACCAGTATAACATGAGACAAATGGCTGTTACCAGAACTAAAGTTTCAACAGTTGTACAATGACAGTGGGTAAACATAAAGCAATCAGTATGAGCAACATGTAAAACGGGGAAACCATACACCAGCACCATTTATGGCATCACATGTTTTGCTGTAGATAGATTTATATTCTTTATATTTAGCCCATTAAGAATGTACCACACCACAAACTTGTCCAATGCATCATCCTAAATGATTACTGAGACTAGTTAAAAAGTTCAACACAAGAAAGGGAGCTTGGCTAAAAATAAAATAAAACACACTTGAAAGTGTACAGGCTACAGTCAGCTGCAGGAGCACAGTTGATTACAATTTCAAGAATTATAGTGGATAACTAATGTTTCTGTTTAAACTATTAGGACAGGATTGTTGCATCACATGTAGAATAGTAACCCGTGTATAAGCATGACCCATATTTTGGTTTTGTTATTCAAATCACTACCGATCATTCATAAACACTGGTTTCTCTCCCCATTCCCGTACAGTAAGGACACATGTACGCACATGACCTATGTTTTGTTTCCGCTATTAAAATGACTGACGACCATTCATAAACACCATTTTCTCCCCTAATTCTATAATAAAGTGCTCCTAACTAAACAGTAAACTGTACCATTTCACATATACAACATTCATTAAAATATCAGATGCAGGTCCATTAAGCAGGAAGAATCAGATAATTCTAACACCGCTCCGAACAAGATATGGTTAAACATGCAAACATACAGGGCAATCGATTCAATGGTTAGAAACAGACTCGCAAAAAGGCAGGCGTACCTGTTTCAACCAGCACTCCTGATGTTTATGCTCATATTTATCTGGTGAATAGCAACCAAACTCTGATGGGCAATATACCCATATATTGCACTTCAATTCACCTGGCTTGGCATTCCTAGCCTGGTCTAGACATGCTTGACAACAATCAGCAGCAGATTCTTTGTGGTGCGTTAATCCCCATCTCACAGCAGCGCCACCATAATCGGCATGTAGCTCAGTGTTGCATTGTGGATGCAAAGGTGGACCAGCTATTATTTCTTCTTCTGCAACAATTTATTTGAGACTCAATTTCTCTGAGAAATACGAAAGCTATTCTGTAACTATAATTCTAACACAATGGGTCAGACTTTGGCACCACGATGCGGAGCTTCATGAAACATAATTAACATAGGCAATGGTAGAGAAGCAACCTTCTGGTTCATTCTCAGGTTTGTCATCATGCTCGGTGTGTGGGACTTCTGGTGAAATCCAAAGACCAATATCCTCCAATAGCCCATGCCAGTTGAACTCCAGGGCTCGCTTTAACAATCCTGTAGACAAGGGTGAAACCAAACTATTACAGTTGAGAATTATGAAACAAAAGCAAAAGAAAACGTTTAGAAGCACCCAATATGTACCAAATGATTATGAAGGAATTGGAACACATAGAAGTGAGTATATATTGTTTAACACTATAAAGCTCACATGTACCAAATTATTATGAAGGAATATGAACACATAGAAGTGAGTATATATTGTTTAACAGTAAAGCTCACGTACGTGCTTCCTCACTGGAGAGGCCCAAATTTGATGAATTCTGTGTAGATGCACTTTTTGCATCTTTTAGCGTCTCAACACGCCATGATTCCAAAGCTTCTGTCATATGTTTGGGAATAGAAACATAAGCACTTCAATTTATCGCCAATCAAGACAACAAATAATCCATGAACTGTATTTCTAACAGATGTAAAATAAATCCAGATCTTATGTATCGCAAAAGCAAGTAACAAACAGTAAAAACATGAATTCACTTTTAGCGTTAATTTATAACGTCACACAGAACATAAATGGAACAAAATAATGGCAACTCCAGACAGCTGATACCATCAAGGAGACAGACAGCTGATACCATCAAGGAGACACAGACACACACAAATAGAATATACCCTTTTTTCTGCCAAACAGGTCAATCAATATGCAGCACTTGCTCATCAAATTATCGCAGCTGGCATCACTGCTAGGTTGATACACCAATTGGCCAGTCACACACACAAAAGTAAATACTCCCTCCGTCCGAAAATACTTGTTGGAGAAATAGGTAAAAATGGATGTATCTAGAACTAAAATACGTCTAGATACATCCATTTCTCCGACAAGTATTTCTGGACGGAGGGAGTATATGACAAGTCGACTAAAAAGAGGGAATCGTCTAATGTGGTTGTCATATGTTCAGTTGTTTCAATCAGGAGGGTTGCTTTTCCTGATCATGGATAGAATGTCTCAAACTTGTACAGTATTCAAATCCCGCAACTCTACGCCTATCTAAGACTATAAAAGTGAAAAGGAATCAACTACGGAGTACTATAGAAGTTCACACTTGCAAGAAAGCACTTAGCAATGCAACATATATCTGACAAACTAGTCGAAATAAATAGTACTAATATATACCCTCCAGACAAGCTATTCAGCCCTCTCTGAACTGAACACATCAAACGGCATGCTGACAGAAAATAGCCGGTGTGTGTCAAGCTGTCGACCAATAACCAAAGATAAACATACAAGTCCAAGTTATGCACACATATTATGGAAAGCCAGGAGCTCACTTCATTCTACACAAAACAGTAATAGTACACTACTATTGCTAATTCGAAACTAGATATGCAAATATACCTCGTTGCTGGATGGCACTGCCGTTATCCCCTAGCTTGTTCAGCCGCCCCACAAGCTCATACGATACCCTCAGCTTCAGCTCGAGAGGCAGCTCCTTCCGCCTTTTCTCCTCCCGTGCAAAAACCTTCTGCAGCTTCTTCACCTTTGGCACCCAAAAATCCTCAGGGATTAGATCGCAAAGCCATGATAACAACTAGTACCAATGAACTATAAACACCATCGAATTCTGCAATAGGCTTTCAAGAGCGGTACCGCCTGGACGAGCTCGACGGGCTCGGCCTCGCGGCGAATCCGGATCGACTCCTCCACCCTCCTAATCTGCTCCTCCGTGTACTGCACCACCTCAACCCCTAACAAAAAATCGAAAAAATAACACCGAGTCAGATCGCGGATACTGCCAGAGTCGTCGCAGGCACGGCGAGGGGCCGGGGAGCGGGCGCCTCACGTTTGGGCCCGGGGGCGAAGGAGGTGAGGGAGCGGAGCACGAGCAGCGCGACGACGAGGTTGGCGAGGCAGACGGCCACGGTGATGCGCCGGTACGAGAACCACCCCGCCGCAGTCGCGCGGCCGCCGAACGACGCCGCCCGCGCTATTCCCCTCGCCATGTCGCCGCCGTCTCCGCTGCCGCCATCCCTACCGCCGACGGCGCGGCATTGCGCTCCGCCGCCGCCGCCCCCGATTCGCGAGCTCCCCGCCTCCTCGATCTCGCCCGCGGCCGCAGGAGCACGCGCCGCGAGGGCCGGTGCGCCGCGCTACAGCCCCGCCCCCGGCGCTCGGATGCTACAGTGCTAGAAGCTTCTGGAATCCCGGCCGGGCAGGGCAGGAGCCTCTCTCCGCGTTCGCCTGGGCCTTCCCGTTTCCGCAAATGGAAGTTGGGGAGCAACTTGAGGGGGGTGGACAGATAGCATGGAGGGTGGAGGCGTGAAGGTGGTAGTGCGGGATTTTCCTCCTCTCTGGCGCGTGGGCCCCGGCACATGACAGCGCCGTTGGGCCCGGTTGCCAGTGAAAGAACTGCCGACAACGCGTAGGCTGGGGTAAAAAAGCCGAGCGATTGTGGCAGATTTGTTGTGGTCGGTGAGATTACAGCGGATCGGTGGAGCTACGTGGATGGTTGCCATTGGGCGCCGTAATTCTCCCAACTTTTAGCAGAACAAGTATTGGCAAAAATGCCAGAATGGTTTGCTCTAATTGCAAGCAATTCTGATTCTAATTACAGACAGAATAGAGCAGAACACATAAGTAAAACAGTTCCTATAAATACATATTTGTCCTTTTTTTGCACGCCACATATGTATAATGTTATGGAATTTTGCACATACATAGTATACATGTGTATGTATATTCCATAAAAAAATCAAAAAATATCACGGTGCAAAAAATGATATTTTGAAACCGAGCTCCATGGAGCTCATAGCAAACATCCTCCCATTTTAACCCCCTCTTGTTTTGGAGAGCGACAGCAGAAAAGTGTTGATTGATGAAGCAGCATCAGGCTGATAATCAATCGCGGAGAAGTATCAATAAAGCAAAGCAGATCTTCATTTTTTTTTCTGCCAACAAATGCGGCAAGACATGGCTTTCATCAGCCCCAGAACCAACCAACTCAATCAGAATCCAGGCAGTCAGTCAGAATTCAGGCCTACCCGCAACAACCAAGGGGGCTGATCTGATCTGCAAGCTCACCCTATAATCCCAACAACAATGCAAAACTTCGTATATATAATCTATTATGCATCAACCTACTGACGTATCGAGATAAATAAAAAAAGTGTAGTTTTGCACTTGGGAGTTTGATTGGACGATGTGCAGCCCCAGAAAAATTGCAGCTTCTGTCCCAGCTATCCAGCCTTTCACTCATTGACGTCTCTGTTATCCGGCCTGGCTTAACACTGTGTCAGTATTTCCACGCCATCTTCGGTTATCAGTAGTGTGTGCTCAAACTGCGCTGTCAGGCTCCCGTCCTCCGTCACCGCGGTCCAGTCGTCGGACCATATGGTCGAGTTTGTGCTCCCTATGGTTAGCATCGGCTCTGAATTGACACACAACAGTCAGGAGAATCTGTTAGTGTTCATATGCTTCTTATGAAGGCCAGTGATCCTTATAAGTTATACAAGTAAACTTGACTGAAGCTATGTCTACAAGGAACACAGTTCCGATTTATGAAGTATAATCAAATCTAATGTGTGCCAATCTTATCTATTTCAATCTAACAAGCATGCAGATTCTTTAATCCCAAGCTGATTATTGAAATAAGGACACGCTATGTGCATAGACTGTAGCGACAGTGGAAAAATGTACCTATGGTAAATGTTTGGTTCAAAATCATGCGGCCCTTTTCATTATTGCCTGTAAATTCAAGAGACGTCAGTCCACGGCAGCACATATATTCCATATCTACACTGAAGTAGAGCAAATCCAATGGTTTCTCATGTTGAACTCACGGAAATGAAGCACTGCAGGCTCAGCATGGAACACTTTCCCTACCCCATGGCCCACAAATTGTTGAACTACACCATATTTGAATTTATCTGCATGATCCCTTCAAAGTTTGAAATCTTCAGTCAGGTAGTGCGTTTGAAGAAATGACGACGATATCCAGTAAGCACAAAATATAATAATTACAAATCTATAGATAGAAGGAATAAGCTTTCGATTTAATTATGTCCAACAAACTCAACCAGTACTCAGTCTACCTCTGTCAGTCTGTCACTGTATCAGGTACTGGCACAAAATATCCAAATTCTAGCAAGCCAAGTTCAGTGCAACACAAGCTAACATGGCACGGAAAGTACGTTTAGGCCCAGTTCTTTTGGGCCGCAGCTTGTGCAGAAACAGCTTCTCCAGAGCTGCCCAGAGAAACTGCGGTGGGAATAAGCTCTAGAGAAACCAAAATAGTTTGTTTCAAGGACACAATTAGTTATTTCTTTTCAAAAACAAGCAACCATTCTTATGTCCACTGTAATCGAAGTCCAAGAAAATGGGTACTATCAATATCAAGTTATGTGCTAGATGCAAAAGAACCAAACAGCACCGATTTCTAACTTTTGCCGCAGAAAGTTTCTGAAATATAGAATCCCCTGGTTACAGAATCAACATATTGCGAAAGAGTGATGAGAAAAATACAAGTGTGCAAGCCTCCCATTTACTTACTGTATGGTTCTACCAATGCGGTTGATCTCCACCCCAGGAGCACAGATTGATATAGCCTTGTCAAGAGATTCTTTCGTTACCTGGTTGGGAAAAAGAACATTCCATAAAACTTTGAACGAAATAATGCATAGCAAAGAACCTTTTCTCTAAGAAAAAATTATGTGACCTTATTGCCATCTGACTGAAAATAAAGTGACTTAGTATGGTTACATCTTTAACATGCAAACAAATTATGTCCAGATTACATTGGTACTTATTCCCCAATGTCTATATATACAACTGCTTAAAGATGCAAGAGAGTACAGGCATATACCTGTGGAAGTACAACAGCCAAAAAATAAGAAAAACATGGAAGAGAGTACAGGCATATCACTAATGCCAGCAAACAGCTGGAGTTCCTGCCTTCATAGACTAATGCATATTTAGAGACAGAGTATTAGACAGAATATTCTTATGAGAGAATTGAGATAACCTGAACTAACTTCTTAGCTTCATCATCAACATCACCACAGAGAAATGTAGCAGATGTATCACCATGGTAACCCTGGAATCAAATATGCATAGACCATAAAAAGGGAATGGGTCAATTTAGATACCAATGGTAACCCTGGAATCAAATATGCATAGACCATAAAAAGGGAATGGGTCAATTTAGATACCAACTATAGCTTCAGCATCTATATTAAAAAAATCCACAATACTCCATATATATATAAACAGATGGAATTAAAGTAATATATCAACTGAATCTGCACCCAACATAGATTTTGCATTCTCTCATATAGAAAAAGGAATGTTGGATGTTTGTTCACAACAAGCAAGAAACCACTAGAACAAAATATCCTCTAGAAAATCATCACAAAGGATATCTATCACAAATAAGCACTTCAGTTTCTTTCTTTACTTGTACTTTGTCTGTGAGGGAAGCACAGCGACTTAACAATAGTCAGCTCAGGAGATGTATAGATTATCTTTGGCTTACATTGAGATAGACAGTAACATCGATGTTGATGATATCGCCATCCTGCCCAAAAAAAAGATTAACTGTAAATTGATTGGTATGTATTCAAAGTCATTGTCTCCAGATGCTGGATTGCTTACCTCAAGTGGACGAGAATCTGGTATCCCGTGACAGATGCATTCATTCACTGAAGTACAAACACTCTTCGGGAATCCACAATAACCAAGAGGTGACGGGTATGCACCGTTATCTATTATCATTTGGTGCACTGCTTTATCTATCTCATCAGTTGTGATGCCTGGCTGTAAATAAGAACCGATCAATTTTTGACACTCGAGTCTTAGACCACCCTAGTCTATGGGCTACTTTTCAGAAATGCGGTACTTCATGAGAAGGGACTTCTACTTCACAAACTACTTAAAAGGTGTCTAAAATGTGTATCAGTTGTGTCCTGCACCTTAACCTTTACCAGAGGATCCATTTGCTCAGTGTGCTCTTTTCTCTTAACAAAGTATTGGATGAATGGAATGAGGTTTCCGTTGTGAATGTAATGTTCCGCGACTAAAAAGAATAATCAGGTACCAATGCCAATAATAACATTACATTTACAAGTGTTCCAGCAAACTTCAAAACTTGCGCGGCAAGCTTTCCAGAAGCTCTCATGCATTCGATCCCTTTTTCATCATGTATTTCAGGTCCATCGTTCATCTGAGGTCTTTGACGGGAATTGACATAAGGAGGCCGCTGTATATGACTGGGAATGGTTAGACGAGGAGACACTTTCCCAGGTCGTAGGCGTCTAGGGTTATTTTCCAGTGAGTCATCCCGACTTCTGTGGAAGTCCAAAAAAGAAAAAAAACGTAAATGTGAATCTACATGTATGCTCCATACAAGAGTAAATGTATCAGAGATACAATGGACACAATTTAAAGGCATAGACCAATTCAACCGTATTTTCCACACACTATAAGTAATATAATTAACAGGCACAACATAAAGTATGCCTTGATTTTCACCATAAGATCAGTGAACTCAGGGAATTTTGTACCCGTTTATCTAACGGTGCTTCAAATATTGTTTATCTTACTTTGATACAAGCATTATCTCACTTCTTACTTTCTTAGCATTCTATCTCCTTGAAATGAAAGCACCACAGCAATGTTTCCAGAAAGAAAATATTCAGTTAGATCATATCACCAGAACAAGAATATCCTACTACTGTTGATAATAGAAGTAGTTCCCTGTTGGGCCTTGTGTTCCAAAATGACTTCTTGAACCATGTAGTTCACCCTCTCTAGTTTTTGTTGCAAGGGGACATTATAAGCAACTTTCTATGATGATCAAAATGCATGATGTGTCTCAAAACATCTTCATGAGTATTAAGATATGGCCAAGTTTGATAGTTCCATGGATTGGCACAAGCCGCACGACATCCCTGATCGGTACTCACACATACTACCTAGCCTACAAAAAATGTCTTACATTTTGAGACAGAGGTAGTACAAAACAGTACATGTGAGGAGGCACCTATGCGGCTATGCGCCAGGTGCCTGAAAAAACTTTGTAAGGGGGCACCTATGCACCAGGTGCCTGAAAAAACTTTTGCTTCCGGTCGATTTTTTAGGTCCCCCCACCCCCAATCCAAACCAGTCAAGGTTCTTCCTCCGCTCCGGCCACGACGCCTTGGCGAGCCCCATCGTCCCCGCCTCCAGGGAGGTCCTGGCAAAGCCCTCGTTGTTGCACTGCTCTCTTTCATCGAAAATCGACTGATCCGATATTTCTTTTAAGTTGCCCGATGGATAGCAACTGCATATATGTAAATGTTGCATTGAACCACTACCACCCAAACCTTAACGAAGCTTCCAATGCATGGTATTGGGGGAAAGGGAGCCCCTGAAATCAACTAGCAATAAACATATCTCCCTATGTGGTCAAGGTCAATGCACCAAGTTGTGGATTTGGATTGGTTGCTATGCACTGGATAAAGGCAATCAATAAACTGGCATTTCAGCTTCAGCTCCAGTTATAGCGGTTGGCATAAAAGATGGGAAATACAGTACATGTGTTCCTCCAAGATAGCCAAAATCAGGCCATTACGTATCCATTGATGGGTCAAGCTGTATCACTATAAAGTTGTGTTGCAATGACCACTCTATCTGCCCAAAAATAACAGCTCGCAGCTAATCTAGTGCTGTCGTCACCTCCAACAGGCAGGGCAGGGAATGGCGACCGGGGAGCTCACCTCCTGTTGAAGAGGGCGTCCACCAGGCTGGAGAGCGTTCTCGTGGCCTGGCACGTCACCCGCCTGTGCCCTGCAAGAGGAGACCCGAGCCGTCCTCTGAGCAAATGTTTCCCCCGGAGGAGCTGACGCGGCAAGCCTTTGAGCCGAAGCGCGAAGTGGGAGGGGCGCGTACCTCTGCCTGGGGCGGCGGCGCGGAGGAGCGGCCTGGCGGAGAGCGCGCCGATGCGGTCGCCGAGGAGGGCGCAGAGGAGGCGCGGCGACGGCGGACTCGCCATGGGCACTGCACCGCACGCGCGAGCGGGATATGGGAGCGGACGAAAGCGAGAGCTGTGGTCGAGAGTCGAGACGGATCCGGTCCAGACCGTCTCCTACATTTTGTTTACGGGAACGAATCGGCATAATAAATCTCGTAAACATCGCGGAAGTTCTTACTTTATGAATAGTAATTTTTAAAAAATGCTAGAAAAAATCAAAAAAGAAATTGAACTTATCTTTGTAATATACTAGCAAAAGAGCCCGTGCGTTGCAACGGAACAGAAAAACACACACGCTCTTAACCCAATAACCACGACTTGAGACCTTGATACGTAGACGTTCTTTATTTTAAAATTGCATCACATTTGTGTTTCCGGTGGTGGTCTCAATGCTCACACAACGAAAACGCATTTGAATATCGTCAATCCTAAGGCGTCTCTCTCTCACACACATACACACAAACACACACACACATACACGCGTGCGCGCGCTTGCGTGCACACACAATCATTGAGAATAAGATGAGAAAAATGTTGTTTTTTCCTGTGAGGTTTTTCAGAGTTGTGCATGCGTGGTTATCAATGTTTTTTCCCTCTCAATCTGGTTTTAATGTGTGTTTATTTGCAATTTGGATCGCCGCCAGTGCGGAAAAAAAACCCAGACCGTGCACTATAGATTATGTTTGCATCCAAATTAATAGTTTAGAAATATTTAATAACTAAAAGTAACAACATATTTGGATTCTACACATTTTTCTAATCAAATTTCATATATAATATGTTAAAAGATTTAAAAGATATGGATAATTTTGTTTTAGATAAACTGCGGATTGATTAACCGAAAGGTCAGGGGGTTTTATGTTAAAACACAAAAAAACGATTCGTATGACTTAAATATGTACCGCGGGTTGATTACCTAAAATCTCAGGGGTGTTTCTAAGAAAACTAAAAAACGGTTCGGTATGACTTAAAGATGGACTGCGGGTTGATTTCAATAAACTGCAAGGACTTTTTTGCAAATAAGGGTGACGGACGACAGAAATCCACCGTGCTTTATTATTAGGTAAAGATATAGTTAACCGGTGTACTTGTATATGAAGTTTCACAAAGAAATCACATCCATCATAATCTGGGCAAAAATGACAAAAACGAAGCTAATCGAAGCTGTACTAAAAAACATTGTTTAATGAATACTATGGTCGCATTTGTATTTTCTTCACTAAGAGTATCATGGGTGTCAATACATTATGAAACTTCACACTTGAGTAGAATGAATGACTAAGTTTCATACCACGAAATTTCAGAATTTTTTTAATATTTTTAATATTTTTTATGAATTTACTATTCACTCGGGTGCGCATGCACCCATGTTCACTTTTATATTTTCACCAGTTCACGTCATTTTAAACATCATCAGAGTTGCACAAACATAGATCATACAAGCAAATTAATATACTATAGTTCCGTACATACGACGTCACTTGCTAGATAGTTCAAACTTAAACTTAAACTAGACTAGATCTAAAACTTAAACATAAACTAGACTAGATGGATCACCGGAGTTCTACTCGTCTTCATCGGAGCTGAAGCCGGACTTGTCGTGCCGAGGTGGTGCTCCACGAGGGAGTTGCAGAGCACGTACGCCGGTACGCGAGGTCGTACTCCTCCTGAAGCGTCGGCACCCGCGCCGTTGCGACTTCGACCCCGGTGGTGGCCGCTTCCTTCGCCTTGAACCAGGCGTGCTCGGCCGCTTAGCGGTGCTGCAGCGCCGGATCGAAGATGTGGTGAAGACGGTCGAAGTTCGTCCATGCTTGTGAGCCGACGTTGCGGGGCCGCGCACCGTGGCAGCGCGTCTGCTCCTTGTGTCATTCCTCCACCAAAGGGCGGAGGGAGGAGCTCCAAGCCTCCTCATCATGGCCGCGCTTGCGAGAAGACCCACCGCCTCGGTTGTCGAGCCCCCCTCGACCACAGTGACCCGCACCCGCCGTCGACATCTCCGCTCGCTTCCAGTGAAACACCTCGCCGCAAAATGCTGCCAGATCTCGGTCGATTTACCGCTGGAGTAGAAGAAAAGCGGCAGAGAGGGACGGGGGAAAAGGCAGAGGGATACCCTAAAGAGCCCCGACGCAGGCATATATAGCGAATTGGAGGGCGGTTTACGGGCCAAGCCGTTTTAGCAGACCTGTTTGGGCTGTCATTTTCGCTCGTCCCATAAAACCGCCTGAAAAACGAGCCCCCAGGCTTTTACGGGATCTATTAGAGATGCTCTTATCGGACGAGGCTTGCCTGCTTCTTCATTGTGGTCCCATCCAGACCTCCTTCCCCACGTCTATTTTTTCAGCCAAACGAAAACATAAATTCCCATGTATTCTCGGCTGTCTTCCTCGAATACCCACTGGACCATTGTTTTTTCTTCTACCTGCATAGGGGAGCGGGGCGAGGTAACCCATGTAAGGACGGCCCGCGTATTTATGACTGCGACATGAACAACGACATGGCCGGCACGGGGGCGCCTTTGGCGGCAGTGAGAGCATGTTTGGTTCATGTCCTCAGTTTCGTGCCTGGTAAAATTTGATGCCTGGTGTTGGCCTGAGAAAAAGAGAGTTAATTGCAAGAAAGTACCACACTTGGGGCAGGTGTAATGGATCAGTACCACTATTCAAAAAAATTGCAAGCCAGTACCAAGTTTAAGTCTTATCGTTGCAAAACCGGCTAAGCGACGTATGATGTTATATCTGACATCCCGGCCCAACCTGTCAGGTGACAGGCTGGCGAACCGGCACGCCGCTCGGCTGACTAGGACCGGCCTGACTCAGTCGGTCTTGGCTCGGTTGAACCCGTTCGATTTGGATGAACCCTAGCAGTTCTCTCCTCTCCCTCTTCCTCTCCTCGCGCAGTTCTTTGGCCATGGTTACTCCGGGCGGCGGCGACATCGACCGTATCAGCGATGGCGTTGTGGGCGGGTACGAAGACCTTCCCGAACTTGGGAGCGATGCACATATAGGAATGGATGGTGAGGGCTCTAGTTCTTCATCTTACTACAGCGACGACGATGAGGGCATGGAGGCGCCGCTGTCCATGGAGTAGTGGTTGTGCCTAGTTGAGATTTGGGTGGCCAACCCTACCATGAGCCATCACTTGGAAGTGGCTGAGTGGAATACCTGCAAGATTCTGGCTAGGCATGCTTTTGACACTAACTATAAGATAGACTTGGTTGTTAACAACCTATCTGAGGTGTTCAACAAGTACATCCTTGATTATAGGAAAGAACCCTATTAGGACAATGGTTGATGGTATTACGAATAAGCAGATGTTGAGGTGGCATAGGAATAGAGAGAGTGGAAAGGCAACTCTATGGGAGATCACACCCCATTATGCTGAGAAGCTAGAGGTGGAAAGGAAAGGGCCAGATTCTGCAAACCCATCCAAGCTGGTGTTAATCTATGGCAAGTAAGCAGTGGGCAGCAAACACATGCTATCAACTTGGAACTTCATACATGTGGTTGCAAAAAGTGCGACCTGAGTGGCACACCATGCAAACATGCAATAGCAGCAATTAACAAGGCAAAAAGGTTTCTAGAGGACTATGTGTGTAAATTCTTCAAAAAACCTTTTTACCTAGCAGCATATGAACCAATGATATATTATGTTCCTGGTGAACATGATTGTACAAAGACAACTGGACCAGACATAAAGCCACCTAAATTTCATGTGAAGAAGGAAAGAAAGAAAGAGAAGAGGATAAAGGGCAGATTTGAGGTTCCAAAGCCAAAGAAGAGTTGAAGAATGGCCACTATAAGATGCAGCAACTGTGGGCTCCAAGGCCATAGGTACACTAGCTGCAACAAACAATTGAAACCAGAGTTGGCTTTGAGGAAAAATAAGCATGTGGTAATCCCCTTGTTAACTACTACAATTTTATTTATTTTTTGTATTTTTTTGCTTGTTAACTAGTATCATGTTTCCTTCATTCTTGCAAGGCATCTGCAAGATCACAGGCTGCTCCTGCAAGATCACATCATCCATCTGCAAGACATGCTACTAACTCTGTTCCACCTGCAAGATCTGTTGCCGCTGGAGCTTCAAGGCCTTTCTCTGCACCAAGATCTGCTGCTGGAGCTTCCACTTCTGGTGCTTCCACTTCTGCTGGCCCAACAAGTCATACTGGATGGATGACCTTTTCCAGTGTGAGTGGAAATAGCAGACGTAGAGCCACCTAAACTATGGCAGTGATGACCAACAGATGAGGGGGCAAGTTATGTATGTTTCAAAACAGTTATTATTTTGGGTTGACATGCTTTCTGTTAGAGTACCCTTTTTGTTATGAACTATGCTATCAGAAATGCGTCTCCCCTCCTGGTGTGTAATACATTTGCTATGAGCAATGTTTTTTGTTATGAACAATGCGCTAAAAAATGCTTCTCCCCTCATGGTGTGTAATACACTTGTTATGAACAATGCTTTCTTTTATGAACCCAAAAAAGCCCCAAGTGTTGGGTTTAGGGGTTGTCGACATCACGAGAACCCAAAAAAGCCCAAGTGGAAGGGTTTAGGGGTTGTCGGCATCGACGGAAAGCCAAAGTGTTAGGTTTAGGGGTTGTCGACATCGAGGGAACCCAAAAAAGCCCAAGTGGAAGGGTTTAGTGGTTGTCGGCATCAATAAAAC